TCAAGTGGAGGAGTTTAAGCATCTCGGGTACTTGTTCACGAGTGACGGGAGAAGGGAGCGGGAGATCGACAGACGGATTAGTGCGGCTGCAGTGATGCGGACACTGTACTGGTCCGTCGTGGTGAAGAGAGAGCTGAGTGTAAAAGCAAAGCTCTCAGTTTACTGGTCGATCGACGTCCCTACCCTCACCTATGGCCACGAGCTGTGGGTAGTGATCGAAAGAACGAGATCGTGGATAGAAGCAGTGGAAATGAGCTTCCTCCGAAGGGTGGCTGGCTTCTCCTTTAGAGATAGGTGAGAAGTTCAGCCATCCAGAAGGGCCCCAGAGTAGAGCCGCTGCTCCTCCATGAGCAACATGAGCGCTTCCTGGGTGAGGTGTTTTGGGCATCTCCCATTGGGACGAGGCCCCGGGGCAGACCCAGGACACACTGGAGAGATTATATCTCTCGGAAGGCCTGGGAACGCCTTGGTGTTCCCAGGCCAAGATGGAAGAGGTGGCTGTGGAGAGGGAGGTCTGGGCTTCTCTGCTTAAGTTGCTGCCCCCACGACCCGGCCCCAGATAAGAGGAAGAAGACGGATGGATTATAGTGATTAAAATCAAGCTGGACTTAGTTATTCACTCACTATTCCTGACTGGATGATTGCATTGAAACAAGTCATCCAACTTGAATTTGTGACTAGTTTTGCAAAAAATGATAAAGACAAGTGTACACACACACACTATGGTTTACCATTGGGTGGAGCAGCGCAGTGTTAATGTGTGTGAGCAGCTCTTCAGCAGACGAGGAGACAGGCAGTGTGAAAGGATGAGTGTGTGTCCTCCAAGATGGAAACACTAACACTGCGGGAAGGTCTACAGTGTGGTCTGCAGCCCTGCATAGTCACCATGCACGCACGCACACACACACACACAATATAAGTAAAACTAATAAACAATATTTTAAATGGTTAAAGTTCAAATATTAAACATTGGAAACACAGCTAAGTTTTTAATGACAGGTATGTCTAAACCTTTACAAAATGTAACTACAACATTGATTAAAGTGTCTTTCCAAAGCCAGGTTGGATTATAGTAGGTACGTGTAGGATTTCCACCCCTCAAAAACAAACTGCTTAACCGTCCATCTCCTAAAGCCTTTAAAAGCAATTGGAAATCCTACATTTCAAAGTTAAGAAAAACAGACAACTCATAGAACTATATTTTGTGCTTTTCAAACTTCAGCTACAGTGTGTTTTTCAAAACGTCCAGTAATTTAGGACTTTAAACTTGAAGAAGCAGTTTGCCAATTTGCTTCAACCTTGAAATGGTAGAGCTCGTACCATTTCTCTGCCAGTTCATCTGTCAGCAGTCCAGTCAGTGCTTCTCCTCTCAGGGACTTTGCTGCTTCGGTAAACGCTGCTAAACATGGCAATAAAGAAAAATTTGGAAAGAAAGAGTAAGTAATATGGGATACTGGAAACACACCGTCTATTTAAAATAACAAAGAGAAAAAGACTAAAATCAACAATGAGCAGACTCTGAACTCATTCGTCTGTGTTGTCCAGAACTGAATGAAAGCACAACAACGAGCTGCATTGTTAGATCAGGTGATATAGTTCCACATTACCATGAACACTCACACTGCAATTTATTTTGACCGATCGCTCAACTGTCGCAGTGGATGCACCAAGCAAGCAGCCTCAGTGATATCA